CAGATATAAGATATATTATACAGGAGTGACATCACCGCTCTCCAGATATAAGTTATATTATACAGGAGTGACATCACCGCTCTCCAGATATAAGATATTATTATACAGGAGTGACATCACCGCTCTCCAGATATAAGATATATTATACAGGAGTGACATCACCGCTCTTCAGATATAAGATATATTATACAGGAGTGACATCACCGCTCTCCAGATATAAGATATATTATACAGGAGTGACATCACCGCTCTCCAGATATAAGATATATTATACAGGAGTGACATCACCGCTCTTCAGATATAAGATATATTATACAGGAGTGACATCACCGCTCTCCAGATATAAGATATATTATACAGGAGTGACATCACCGCTCTTCAGATATAAGATATATTATACAGGAGTGACATCACCGCTCTCCAGATATAAGATATATTATACGGGAGTGACATCACTGCTCTCCACATATATTTATACGGGAGTGACATCACCGCCCTCCAGATATAAGATATATTATACAGGAGTGACATCACCGCTCTCCAGATATAAGATATATTATACGGGAGTGACATCACCGCCCTCCAGATATAAGATATATTATACGGGAGTGACATCACCGCTCTCCAGATATAAGATATATTATACGGGAGTGACATCACCGCCCTCCAGATATAAGATATATTATACAGGAGTGACATCACCGCCCTCCAGATATAAGATATATTATACAGGAGTGACATCACCGCCCTCCAGATATAAGATATATTCTATGATGGGGATTAATGTTGTACATATACAGCGTGTTATACAATATAATACTCCGTGTACGTATAGTATATATACCCCTGGGCTGTGTGTAGGTGGGGGCACTCCATCCTGGCTGGATTATCTGGTAGAAGCACATATCCTGGGCTCCCCGGGACCCCGCTGTCCGCTCCTCTCGCCCAGCCAGGCACACGTCTCTCCTCCATTCCATACACTCAGCTTATCGCTGTACGCAGCTCCCAAATATTCCGATAAGCCGGCTCAGCCTTTGTGGTGAACTATTTTTATGACGGTTTCTGGAGTCTGTTTCCTGAAAAGCTGCGATGATCCAGCAAGCGGCCTCCCTATAGCAAGGGGGTGTTTATACTGAGCGGGCCCTGGAGCCCCTTTACTCTGCAGATATGAAGTGCCCCAAAAAGATCCTGACAATTAGAAGGAATGCTTTGGAGTGCGACCTTCTCTAAACAAGTCAGAGCGATAAAGCACTTGTTTCTTCTAGAAGTGTCAGAGGCACGCCGCGTAGGTTTAAGTCCAAAGTGCTTTCAGTATACCGAAAATTTGGGGAAAAGTTCAGTAAAATTTGGCAAGTTTTGGTCCATGGGGAAGATGAAATTAGGAAGTAGTGGTGGTTTAACCACTTCCAGTCCGGACACTTTCCCCCCCTTCCAGTCCGGACACTTTCAGCTCCTTCCAGTCCGGACACTTTCCCCCCCCCACTTCCAGTCCGGACACTTTCACCCCCCTTCCAGTCCGGACACTTTCCCCCCCTTCCAGTCCGGACACTTTCAGCCCCTTCCAGTCCAGACACTTTCCCCCCTTCCAGTCCGGACACTTTCACCCCCTTCCAGTCCGGACACTTTCCCCCCCTTCCAGTCCGGACACTTTCCCCCTCCTTCCAGTCCGGACACTTTCCCCCCCTTCCAGTCCGGACACTTTCAGCCCCCCTTCCAGTCCAGACACTTTCAGCCCCTTCCAGTCCAGACACTTTCCCCCCCTTCCAGTCCAGAGACTTTCACCCCCTTCCAGTCCAGACACTTTCACCCCCTTCCAGTCCAGACACTTTCACCCCTTCCAGTCCGGACACTTTCACCCCCTTCCAGTCCGGACACTTTTCCCCCCTTCCAGTCCGTACACTTTCACCCCCTTCCAGTCCGGACACTTTTCCCCCCTTCCAGTCCGTACACTTTCACCCCCTTCCTGTCCGGACACTTTCACCCCCTTCCTGTCCGGACACTTTCCCCCCCTTCCAGTCCGGACACTTTCCCCCCTTCCAGTCCGGACACTTTCACCCCCTTCCAGTCCGGACACTTTTCCCCCCTTCCAGTCCGTACACTTTCACCCCCTTCCAGTCCGGACACTTTTCCCCCCTTCCTGTCCGGACACTTTCACCCCCTTCCAGTCCGGACACTTTCACCCCCTTCCAGTCCGGACACTTTCACCCCCTTCCAGTCCGGACACTTTCACCCCCCTTCCAGTCCGGACACTTTCACCCCCTTCCAGTCCGGACACTTTCCCCCCCTTCCAGTCCGGACACTTTCACCCCCTTCCAGTCCGGACACTTCCCCCCCTTCCAGTCTGGACACTTTCACCCCCTTCCTGTCCAGGCCAATTTTCAGCTTTCAGCTCTGTCACACTGTAAATGATAATTGCACGGTCATGCAACACTGTACCCATATTAATTTTTTTGCATTTTTTTTTAGACAGATAAAGCTTTATTTTGGTGGTATTTATTCACCACTGGGATTTTTTTTTTGTTTGCTATGTAAATTAAAAAGTCCAACATTTTTAAAAAAAAAGTGTTTTCCTTATAAAAGTTTGCAAATAAATAATATTTCATAATATATCTTGGCCAGCATTTATTCCGTCCTCTTTTTAGTGGAAAAAAAAAAAAATAAGCCAAATTAGTTTATTACCAAAAATTATAATTTTTAAACATTTTGTTTTACATTTTTATTTTTTTTTACACTAATTGCTGTAAAAGCAATCATTTCTCCTTCTCTCTGGCTGCATTCTTGCAGCCATTGAGAACTACTGTGTGAGCTGTGATTAGTCACAGCTTGTCACATGGTACAAGGCTGTTGTGAACAGCCCTGTACCATGTGATCTCTGTGATCATTGACAGATTTCACACGTAGTAAGCAATGATAGCAGAAGTGACTTCTTGCTTACTACTCTGCATGTGATCACTGATTGGCCAATCAGCGATCACATGATCGGGACCTCGTACAGAGGTCCCATACGACGATCAGTGTTCCACTGTGTCCGGAGGACACAGCAGGCACCGGATTGCAGTGCTGCGCACTCCCAGGGAGCGCGCACAAGCAGAGGGCAGGGAGGCCGTTTATAAATGGCCACCCGACCCTGCACTGCCATTGTATATAAACGGCCAGACGGGAGGTGGTTTAAGGCTAGGTTGCGTTTGATCCATTTCTTTATTGCTTTTTGTGGTGCGTTTTGCGTTTTTGCACGTGTTTTTTTAAATTTTTTTTGGCCAACTCTCTTGCTGGGAAGATTAAAAATGCGAAACGAATCAAAACCAAAAAGCAAAAAATGCATCAAAAACGCACGCAAAAATGCAGCACTTGTGTTTTATATGCAGTTTCATTGAAGACTATTGGACTAAAAACGCAAACTGGTCTGGGAAAAGAAGTCCCTGACCTTTACCAAAAACTGTGCCCGTAAAAACTGCATAGATGTAAACACGATCCTTAGGAAATCATGATACTTCTATGCACTGCGTTCCTACAAAACGCACAATGTGTAAAAAAACGCACAGCTGAACCTGACCTTAAGGCTAATGGATTAAGAGCATCATGGGACTGGTGCTGAGGACTTTGGTGGACCGCAAGGGCCTGTGATAAAGAACACAGCCGTGTACATCATACTTGCCAACTGTCCCGGATGTGCTGGGACAATCACGCTTTTTACTAAGCTGTCCCAGGGTGACCTCGGCAGCATCCAAAGAACCTGTACTGTGCCCTCTGATCCCAGTATTGTGCCCTCCTGACTCACCCCTGTACTGTGCCCTCTGATCCCAGTATTGTGCCCTCCTGACTCCCCCCTGTACTGTGCCCCCTGATCCCAGTATTGTGACCTCCTGACTCCCCCCTGTACTGTGCCCCCTGATCCCAGTATTGTGCCCTCCTGACTCCCCCCTGTACTATGCCATCTGATCCCAGTATTGTGACCTCCTGACTCCCCCCTGTACTGTGCCCTCTGATCCCAGTATTGTGCCCTCCTGACTCCCCCCTGTACTGTGCCCTCTGATCCCAGTATTGTGCCCTCCTGACTCCCCCCTGTACTGTGCCCTCCGATCCCAGTATTGTGCCCTCCTGACTCCCCCCTGTACTGTGCCCTCCGATCCCAGTATTGTGCCCTCCTGACTCCCCCCTGTACTGTGCCCTCCGATCCCAGTATTGTGCCCTCCTGACTCCCCCCTGTACTGTGCCCTCCGATCCCAGTATTGTGCCCTCCTGACTCCCCCCTGTACTGTGCCCTCCGATCCCAGTATTGTGCCCTCCTGACTCCCCCCTGTACTGTGCCCTCCGATCCCAGTATTGTGCCCTCCTGACTCCCCCCTGTACTGTGCCATCTGATCCCAGTATTGTGCCCTCCTGACTCCCCCCTGTACTGTGCCATCTGATCCCAGTATTGTGACCTCCTGACTCCCCCCTGTACTGTGCCCTCTGATCCCAGTATTGTGTCCTCCTGACTCCCCCCTGTACTGTACTGTGCCCTCCGATCCCAGTATTGTGCCCTCCTGACTCCCCCCTGTACTGTGCCCTCCGATCCCAGTATTGTGCCCTCCTGACTCCCCCCTGTACTGTGCCCTCCGATCCCAGTATTGTGCCCTCCTGACTCCCCCCTGTACTGTGCCCTCCGATCCCAGTATTGTGCCCTCCTGACTCCCCCCTGTACTGTGCCCTCCGATCCCAGTATTGTGCCCTCCTGACTCCCCCTGTACTGTGCCCTCCGATCCCAGTATTGTGCCCTCCTGACTCCCTCCTGTACTGTGCCCTCCGATCCCAGTATTGTGCCCTCCTGACTCCTCCCTGTACTGTGCCCTCTGATCCCAGTATTGTGCCCTCCTGACTCCCCGCTGTACTGTGCCCTCTGATCCCAGTATTGTGCCCTCCTGACTCCCCCCTGTACTGTACCCTCTGATCCCAGTATTGTGCCCTCCTGACTCCCCCCTGTACTGTACCCTCTGATCCCAGTATTGTACCCTCCTGACCAGGGGAGGACTGACAACTCATGGGGCCCCCGGGCAATAGGAGATCATGGGGCCCCTGTGTCCTTGCCCAAACTCAAAAAAGGTACCAGGGGCATTTCATGAGGCTCCCTACTGACCCCGGGCCCTCGGGCAGTGCCCATGTTTCCAAATGGTCAGTCCGCCCCTGCACGGTACAGAAGCCCCAGGCTTCCATAAGAGCCCTGCATTGGCGTGCGGAGTGCGTCCTGAGGTGAGGTGGAAGGGCGCAGACACGCACGCCGAAGACACGCACGCCGAAGACACGCACGCAGAATTCCAGGCGTTTATTAGGACTGCCTGCCCAGCGCCCATTTTTTAACCATTTGACCTACTGAAAATTTTACCCCTTTCATGACCATGGCATTTGGTATTCAGCACTGTGCTCCTCTAACTGGCAATTGTGCAGTCATGCAACGTTGTACCCAGATTAAATTTTTTTTACACAAATAGAGCTTTCTTTTGGCGGTATTTGATCACCTCTGTTTTTTTTATTTTTTATGATCTAAAGGCCAAAACTTTTGAAAAAAACAAAACAATATTTTCTACTTTCTGATATAAAAAAATATCCAATAAAAAAATTTAAAAATCTAATTAATTCAGAAATTTAGGCCAAAATGTATTCTGCTACATGTCTTTGGTAAAACAAAAAATCCCAATATGTGTATATTAATTGTTTTGTGCGAAAATTTATAGCATCTGTAAACTATGGTATAGATTGGAATTTATGCAGCTATGATGCTATACTGGTAATGGCGGTGACTGGCGACTTATAGTGGCACTGTGATAGTGTGGTGGTCAATCTGGCGCAAACAGACCCTCGCTGGGAGGGACACTAACTGACACTGACATCGATAGTGACACTAATACAGTGATCAGATATAAAAGTGTACATTGTCACTGTAATAATTACACTGCCCGTATGGAAGAAAAATATATGAAATACGGTATATTTTTTAAAATATTCCTCCCAAATATATTGTCATATATTTGAAATACTACAATTTTGGCCATATTCAATATATTTCAATAAATAAATATATATATATATATATATATACTGCATGTTTCCTTCCACTTCACAATTATGTGCCACTTTGTGTCGGTCTATCACATCCAATCCCAATAAATACATTGATGTTTTTGATTGTAACATGACAAATTGTGGAAGATTTCATGGGGTTTGAATACTTTTTCAAGGCACCGTATTTGCGGCCTCTTGGCGTTAAGGCCCGCCCGCCAAGAAGTCGCATAAATGCGTACGGCTTGTGTGAAGGAGCTAATAAAAAAAACGTTTCCCTTTGATGGAAATCCAATGATTGAAAGAGCCCGGTGAAGGATGACAAGCCTGGGGAGGAAAGGGTTAGATGATGCTGGACTTGCTCCAGCCAGGAAATGAGGCGGATCTCTATCGGACTTGCTACAGCTTCTAATGAACATTGCGAGAAGCTCACAGTGTGCGGTGAAATGGTGACTGTGCAAGACTGAAGGGAATTCTGATTAAACTCCATTTTCCAGTTGGCCAGCAGACATCCACATTGCTAATGGGGGGGGCTTACTTTTGGCTCGCACCGCACAGTCTGGAATGGCTAGTGTGCCCTTGAGTACTCACCATTGCTAATGGGGGGGCTTACCTTTGGCTCACACCGCACAGTCTGGAATGGCTAAAGAGCTCTTGAGTGCTCACCATTGCTAATGGGGGGGGCTTACTTTTGGCTTGCACCGCACAGTCTGGAATGGCTAGTGCGCCCTTGAGTGCTCACCGTTGCTAATGGGGGGCTTACTTTTGGCTCACACCGCACAGTCTGGAATGGCTAGTGTTCTCTTGAGTACTCACCATTGCTAATGGGGGGGCTTACCTTTGAGTCGCACCACACAGTCTGGAATGGCTAGTGAGCTCTTGAGTGCTCACCATTGCTAATGGGGGGGGGGGGGGCTTACTTTTGGCTCGCACCGCACAGTCTGGGATGGCTAGTGTGCTCTTGGGTACTCACCATTGCTAATGGGGGGGCTTACATTTGGCTCACACCGCACAGTCTGGAATGGCTAGTGCGCCCTTGAGTGCTCACCGTTGCTAATGGGGGGGGGGCTTACTTTTCGATCACACCGCACAGTCTGGAATGGCTAGTGTGCTCTTGAGTAGTCACCAGCATACCGTGAATCCAGACCCATAATCAGACGCCACTGAGCCGCCATTTTTAATACATTTTTGAGCTTCTCCTGTCACCTCTCCGTTCGAAGGACGCTGTTTTTTTTTTCTTCCTCTCCCGCAAACATCCCGTCGCAGTGATCCGCAGAGAAGTGAATAGCTAATTATAAGAATCCATACGGGCCCCCGGTACAATGCGTGCAGCGAGATCGGAAGGCCCCGACACGCTCTCTGATGGGTTTAATGTGGCAGAACGGGCCTGGGAAAAGCGCGGGGGTCAGAGGTCAGCCAGCAGTCTGGGCAATGCAGAAGGAGAGCGGTTATCTCCATGAAGATCTCCTATTCATCCGAGCGGCCCGACTCTCGAAACCATTAGTCACATTTGGTCCGGTGACATCACACTTCCAGAAGAACGGAGGGGTCGCGTTCACTGCGCAGGGCCAGGATGATGGCGGGGTCAGCGGACAAGTGTTAGCATTGAAAGGACTTCCTCTCCGATTACCATCCCAGGCAGAGCCATGGATAAGGGGGTACCACCAGTCCTCCTGCCAGGTGTGCCCAGGCAGATGGGTGAATTGGATGTGGGCAGGGAGGGTGATCAGCATGGCGGGGGGGGGGGTTGCATTGGAACCAATCCCCTGTATGGCTCTCTCTGCAGCAGCTGAAAGTTGTCTTCTTTTCCTCTCACTCTCTTTGATTTCAGCTGCTGCAGGGAGGCCTATACAGGGGATAGTTTCCAATAACTGACCTCCACCCCCCTCGACCACAACCATCATCCTCCCTGTGCACCATATGTTTCCCCCTGCTGCCCAGGCCCGCCTGTGTGCCCCCATTAGTCACATTTGGTCCGGTGACATCACACTTCCCGAAGAACGCAGGGGTCGCGTTCACTGCGCAGGGCCAGGATGATGGCGGGGTCAGCGGACAAGTGTTATCATTGAAAGGACTTCCTCTCCCTGTGCACCATATGTTTCCCCCTGCTGAAAAGCCCCTCCCTTGTGCCCCCACCCCCCCTTAGTGCTGCTGGCTTCCCTCCCCTCCTTCCCACCGGTAGCAACAAGCACGCAATAGGAACTTTCAGGATGGATAGTGGGGGAAGGGTCCGGCAAATATGTCACCTTTATCAGCCCCTTTCAGGAACGAACACAATGAGTGATCAATGCCAATCACTCACTGTGTTCATTCATAACTGAAGCCTATTGTTTTTTTGGGGGGGGCGGGCCCTATCAGGTTGGGTGTATGGGGCCCCGTGGTTTCTAAGAGCAGGAACAGCTTCCCCTCCCATCATATGACTCTGCTGCTCACACAGACGGGAGGGGGGCTTATGCACACTACCAGCATTCAAGTGTGTTGCTTAACCCCTTGTCTGCCAAAATACGTATAGAAATGTCCTGGCATTCCAGTAGGCAGCTACCCAGTGTGCTGATAGAAGATGTCTGTAAGATAATCGATCTGAGCTGTGTGTCGTGTGTGAGGAGGACAGCAGGCAGTCCAGATCCGACATCAAACACAGGAGAAGGAAAGGAGGTGGATCCAGACAATATTGTCGTCATAAGAATCCAGAAAAGACTGTAGCCCTTCCCACAGATATTTACCTTGATTTTAACAGAAAGGGTGACACTTCTCAGATGGCTAGAAAGATTTTTATATATTAGCAGCTCACAGTGAATAGGATAAAGCTAAAAAAAAAAAAAGGAAAACCCATACTTCTCTTTGAAGCATAGCAAACTGTGCTTACTGTGCTTCAGTTTATGAATGAAAAGGAGCCTCAGTCTCCTGTTCATTCATTTGCAATGCAACTGAGGCTGCAGAGAAATGAATGAAAGAATCTCAGTTCCTTTCTCTGTCTCACAGCTGAGATATCAGGGTCTGTTTAGACCCCCTATATTTCATCCAAGCACCCCAACAGCATTGTAAAAAAAAACACCACAAAAAACGCCTGACAAAGCACATAGAAAACACATGTTTTGCCACACTTGTAGTAAACGATTTGTTGAAATTCCTACCCCAGTACTCACAGTTTACAACTCAGTCTCGGTTCACACTTGGTGCGGAACACCGCATGTTAGTTGCACCGCGATCCTGTGTAATGCAGGCCATAGACGGGTCAAACATCAGACAATTTTTAAAAAAAAAAAATGAAAAATCGGTCATTTGAACGGCTGACGTTACCACCAACGTTAAAAAAATCAGCCGATTTTCCACCCGTCTACGGCCGGCATTAACCCCATAACTTCTGTCCCTTGCAGAGACAGGGGAGCGCACCATACAATGTGACAGCAATACAAATACAGTATTTGGATTACAATGTTTTTATTTGGATACAAATGGATACATTGTTGCAACCGCAAGACTTTTCATATAAAATATAATAGCGGACTGGAATTCTTCTTCTTCTTTTTCTTCTTTTCTTCTTCTTCTTTTTTCTTCTTCTTCTTTTTTCTTCTTCTTCTTCTTCTTTTTTTTTTCTTCTTTTTCTGCTTCTTGCAGGTCACGGCTCATGAGCAGATTTTTTTATCGGTAAAACGATTGGCTGATTTGCCCATCATTGCCGGGAAAATCAGCCGATGGTCAAAATCGGCCGCAAATTTTCCAACATGACCAATAAAAAAAATGTGCAAAAACCCCGAAAAACGGCCGACCAATTAACCCACTAACGGTGTGAAAATCGTCCAATTTTGTTTTGGACGATAAATCGGCCAATTTTTGACCCGTCTGTGGCCGGCATTAAGCACATGTCTGTGATTTCATCTATTGCTCTGAGGAAGGGAGTTCGACTCCCGAAACGCGTTAGCACTTTATCCGAGGATGCATGCTGTCCACGATTGACACCTTTGACTTCTTGTCTCTGTTTTTATGACCTTTATGGCTTGTATGTTTCTGCATTTTTTTAATAAACGTATGGTTTTTGCATTAAT